AGTAATAGATTCTGTGATAATATATGTTAATTTCTGCTTTCTTACTGTACCCATAAGGGGTAAAAGAGAAGGACTATTACTGTTTTTTGAAGTAATCTGACTTCTGGGACCATTATCTTTTGGGACATGTAAATTAAACAAATGGAGTAGCACAGATGTAAAGCTGTGATTTGCCTCCCATTTTGTAGACCAATGGGATGAAAGATTAGTGTTCATTAGCTGCACAGTAGAAAAAAAAATGCTGTATTCCAACTGGAGCTGTGTAAACCAACTGTAATGACATTTACCTGACTTTATAATTGCAATGATTTTTGCTAGTGGGGTGGCTAGTAGAACCCTTGTAAGCTGAATAAATAGAAAACAATGAAGGTAAGAAAGTACATACGTGAAAATTGCATACGTGGTGAAGACATATTTATCTGAAGCACACGTGGCATGAGAAGAACTTTGAAGAATGATTTTTTTTTTTCAAAAAACTTTCACAATTTTCAATTCAACAGACTGTGTTACAACTTGTGACCATAATTAGCATGTTCATTACAAAATATCTTGTTAATGCCTCCTTCCAAAGATGAACACTGTTTTTTCTACAGTGCAAGTGGTTCTTTGAAGTTTATATAATAAAGTCTCTGCAGAGGAACTGTGCAATAAAGATTAAGAAATACAATCATGTCTGCTTGACAATCGCATAAAAGGAGTCTTTGCAAGAGTGAAGTACAAGGAGAGGTGGCCAATGTATGTAAAACTTACAGGCAGTTTTAGTATAGAATATGGATTACCTGGATTTGCTTATAAAATAGTTGAGCAATAGAAATATTTAAATGCAATATTATACATTATTTTGAAGTATTTTATTTAGTCACAGGGCAAACAAAGACATTTGCCTTCCATGCAGTAAAATCTGAAACAACAAATTGCTGGTCTGTATAAAAAAGGGAGTAGGATAATCATATAAAATAAATGAAGAATATTGAATAACAGTCGTAGATTGACTAGCTGAAAAGTTTTGCCAAGAGCTTCAGATTTTTTTATAGATAATGCTTTTCATAGTTTCAGTCATCTCTGTAGACACAAAATTTGTCGAGTAATTTTTCCCCTAATCAGTGATTAGGTTGTTCACACTTCTTTTTTTCCTTAGGGATTTTCAGGTGTGGTGTTATAAATTTTCCCCTTTTAAGTCCAATATTTTATTATGAAGTACCTGCCACAGTTAGTATAAATCTGTAGGTACACATTAACAAGCTTGTTTTGAAAAATATGGCAGTGACTTGAAAGAAACAAATAAAACTGCAATACCAGATATGTTGATAGTGCTTAGATGTAAATCCTTGTAATCAAGTCTTCCAGAGATGATTAGTTACTTCAGAAAACTAAGCATAGTTTGCTAGACTTAAAAACCTTCTAAAAGTTCTCAAAAAGGTATCTATAGTCATCACAGTATTTTTGAGGAATTTGTGCCAACTTCCTTTCTTATAAGCAATATTCTCCTCTCAAGAAGTTTCTTTCAAGTGTCTTATTTCCTTACAGATTATTTTAACATGATTGATTGTTCGGGTTTATTTGCTCAACAAATAGAGAGAAAGTTTCATTTTGTTCTTAGCTAATTAGTTATGCTGGCTACGGTTATCTCTTCATAAGGGTTCACTTTCCTCACTTCCATTCTTCAGTGAATTTCACCTGTTCCTGAATTTCATCCAGCCTAATCAAATAAATACTTTTTTTTTTTTTCCCCCAACGTTGCACAATAAAAGATTTTCTTCTTGCATATATGTACCTTCCACAAGATCAATCTAGTTTTGAAATATTAGGAGCAGTGTAAAAGAATTAATTCCTAACATAGAGCACTATGATTTAAAATCTACCATCTGGAGGGACTATTTCTTATTTATTCTTTTGTGTATACATATATATTTATAGATAGACAGAGAGATAGATAGGTATAGATATGGAATGTGTGTCTGTATGTGTGTGCATGTGTATGGAAAAATAAAAAAAAATAAAAATAAAAAAAGAAACCTATATATTCCTGTTCATAAATAGATGTCTGACAGTTGTCGTGATCTAAGAGGAGGAACTGAAATAATACTGGACAAAAACACAACAGTCCTATTTAGCTTGAATGAATTCTTTACCAGACTGTTTTTGCTAAGAATGTACACCTGTTAAATACTTTCAGACAAGAGCTCAGTGACTAATTTTAGCATGACCCCCATCTGAGTATTCATATTCTAGTATCTAATGGCTTCGTATAGTGTTATAATTATTTTTGAAAACAGGGATATGTCTAACACTTCGAAAATGCAAACCAAGTCATCCTAAACAGATCAGTTTTAAAATATGTAGGTGCTTGAATGATGGTTGCCTCTGATGTTCCATCCCCTTTTCTTAGTTATCCCCAAATCATCAGAAATCTGTCATGAGCAAATGTCACAGAGAACAACTAGAGATGAGTTAGCAGAGGGAGGAAAAAAGTTTCTGCTGCAAG